GGTATTTGCTTCCAAAAACTCAGCCATTGAAAACTCTACAGAGTACGGTTCTGCTCTGACACACATGGCCTGTCATGAGTTAGAAGCAATGAGATGACAACTAAAAACAAGAAAATAAGCCTGGTCAAGACCACTCCGGCCCTCCACCTGCACCTGTAGAGCCTCAGGGACCCCGAACACTATTCTCATGCCCTAGGAAGGGGGTTTCTGGCTCACCCACCAATGGCCATGCCCTCTGTGAGAGTCTGATGACTCCAAAGGTCCCGGTCCCCTTCCCCTGATCCGTTCCCTCTTTTTAGTCTCAGCTTTGGCAAAAGGATGGATTAGGAACGAGGAGCTGGCCCATCCACCAAGCAATTAGTGTTTGTCTCTCTTGTTTATATAGCTGAACAAGGGTCCATTTTCAAACTTAATAGTAAATATTCAGAAAGATAAACCTGCCTAGGCCACTCTTGAGAGGTAATTTGAGGGTTTGATGGGAGAACAGAGTTGGTCTGAGCTGGGCCCACATCCCTGGACAGTTGGTTCCTGGATGCAATGAGTTAGGGTGCAGAGTGGATCAGGAGGCGGGCCCACATGTCCCACTTCATGGCTGGGAATCCATGGATGCCAGAAAGCATAAGCCTCCCTCATTGGGGTTTTCTTGTCCCAGAGGCCCCCACTCTCAGGCTTAAGTGTGCTCCCTACAGGGGCCGAAGTTTGAACCAAACATACCTCTCAGTCTCACCCCTCCAACTGGTTCCACAGCGGGAACCCCTCACCCAATAGAAGCCTCATTGAGCAGATAATGAATGGACCTTCCCAGCCCACCTCGGCATGTTCCAGGCCAGGTTGGGTATGGTTTGGTGCACCTTCTCAGGCTGGGAACCAGTCTCCCCAGGGCCACACACCCAGGTCTGCTAACTAATGAGAAATAAAGAAAACAAGGGCCTCACTGTGCAAATGGGATGCTGTGGTGGAGCATCTGGACAGCCTGGGCTTTAGGAGACAGAACTAAACACAAACCCACTGACATGGAGTCCAGTCAACTCGTAATGATCCCGCAGGACGACACTGTACATCTGTATGGAATCAGATTGCCTCACCTTTCTCCAGCAAAGCAGCGAATGAGTTCGAATCACTCACTGTCCTTCAGGTTAGCCTCACTGCACCACCAGGGTTCCGCGGAAGGAAGCCTAGTGCTCATTGACCGCAGGGAACTGCTGCCACCTCCTGGTCATTTCTCAGAACTGCATCAAGTCTTTAGGTCTTTTTGCGGGGGCTGGGCAATTAGCCAGGCTGGCTGCCCCAGACCCTGCCTTTCCTGTCAAAGTGTGTTAGGGAGGTTAAAGGGGACAGATAATCAAGTTTGATCCCAAGTGAAAATGATGTTGTGGTGGTTGTTTTCATGGTTGTTTATTTAACAATATTTGTTGTTGCTGCTGTGTGCCATCGTGTTATTTCCCACTCATAACAACACTGAATCAGATTTCTGAGAGCAGCTGGTGGGTTTGAACTACTGACCTCGCAATTATCAGTCCAGTGCTAAGCCTACGATGCCACATACCATCTCCCAATTAGTGAGCACTTGCAATGCCAGGTTCACTGTTTTTGTTGCTCACAACCCAGCTGAAGCTCAGAGAGACTGGGTGGCTAGCCCAAGGTCACACAGCTGGTGAGTGGTGGGGGAGTCAGGCTGCTGCAGAACACGCTATCCTGGGAAGCCGTGGTTCAGCTCCCCAACAAGGAAATGTCCCCATGCACCTTCGCTGGACAGTCTCCTGTTCCTTTGACCCGCCTTTTCATCCACCTTCCCAGCCCAGACACTGCTCTGGGTGCTGGGAATACCAGTGAGAACAGGACAGAATGACCCCAGCTATCACCCAGGTCATATCCCAGTGGAGCCTGAAGACCCAGGCCCAGAACACAGAACCTCCAGGGGGCCCCAGCCTCCCTCCTTTCTGAAGGGGAAGTCTTTATCTCATGCTCCTGACAGCCTGGGTATAAAGGTGAGGAGGGGCCACGGGAGTTTGGGAATTCCGTTTGCCAGGCTCTCAACACAGACCTGATTGAGACCAACTTCGGGCCTTAACCTAAAAACTCAACTTGCCGGTGTCTCCATCCCTCCTTGCCTGGTTCTTTCCCTCCCAGACCTCAGGAGTGGTCCAGTGCAGATGGGGATGACTGACAGGCCCAGAGAGGGCATTTTGCCTAGGTCACACAGCCAAAATGACCTGGCCAGAGCCCTCCCTCCTCCCCCAGCTCAGACCCAAGCGGGCCCCCCACATCATGGGGATGGAGGGATGGGGAGCAAGACTTTGCTCTGGGCCTGAAAGGAGTGAGGAGTGTAAATGAAGTCTTGTTTCTCTCCTCTGTCTCTTCCGGAGAGGCTTCCTGTCCCCAGACCCTCATGGTCTGCCGGCTTCACTCATATGCTTAGGAGGTAGGGTTGAAAACTAGGAAGGGCTCTCTGATTACTTTGTAATCATGGCTTGGAAAGTGAGGGTCTGTAGTTGTGGAGGAGTGTGAAGCTCAGAGAGACAGCCTCACACAGGCCCAGCAGAATGTCTGGTACACTAAGATGCAACTATCCTCTCCTCCATCTTCCTACCTTGCCCTGCCCTCCCTCCTTTCCAAAAGGGGAGTGAGGTCCAGGCCCACAGTACGCAGAGTCCTGCAGCCTTCATGACTTCTGGCCCATGGAATTTAGGCAGATGCAGTTTCCTGACCATATCCCCTCTTCTGGAGGTGAGAGCCTTAGGACTGGGCCCTCACCCATAGCCAAGGGCTGTCTCAGAGATTCTGGGCTTCCTCTCCATGATGACAGGTCCTAAAGGATGCAGAGACTGAAGAGAGGCCCGCACAGAATCCATGGACCTGCTGGAAAGGCCTCCTCAGAGGGCACTGCTTGTGGGAGTCGGTTCCAAGGCAGGGGGGTTGTTAGAACAAGTCTGGGACCCTCCCAAGACATACCAGCCCCATCGTGATATCCCTCCATAGATGCCCCCGTCCCTTCTCCTGTCCTGTCCTTGGTTCTCTATTTCTCCCCTTTGCTCAGTTCAGGAAGCCTGGTCTGGGCCTGGACTTCCGCACAGCAGCCCCGCCCAGTGCGGTGGGCAGCGGGAGGAGGAAGGTGTCTCCCCCTCCCTCCTCTCACTCCAGCAGTGGGCTCATTTACAAGCTTGACTCAGTTCAGAGCAACTTGGGCTAGGGGTGGGGTCTGCTACCTCAGTGTTTCTTGGCTGCTGGTGGGAAAGGTAGTAAGAAATGAGGGACCGAGGCCAGCCAGGTGGCCAGCCATCCTAGCCACATCAGGGATAAGCTTTGTTTACACCCATCCTCCTTCCTTTGTTACCAAATCAAACTGCCTCTTCCAAGAAGCCTTCCCTAATGGCTCTCCCCCACCCATCCCAAGCCTCCCTGTGTGCTCCCAGGGATTGGACAACCCAGGATGCTGGCTGACTCCCCTACTCGCCTCTGCTGTGAGTTTCCACCACCAGGAAGCCCTCCGGAAGGTGAGTAACTGAGAACCCCCAGGTCCGAAGCCTCCAACTAGGCTGTATTCCAGCTTAGCCACTGTGTGAGTACCAGAAAGCTCTGGACTTAAGAGGCTCTGGGCCCTCCTGGGCCTTGCCCCCCTCTGGGGACTTAGTGGTCAGGGGAGCTGCCATCTTGTGGCCCCCAGTGTATTCAACATAGCCCTAGGATCTCACCCCACACAACTCGCCAAGGGCTGCCTCTAGAAGGTGACTCAGTCCAGGGGCTGAGAGGTGACCCACAGGAGCCACATCTTCCAGGGAAGAGAGAAGACAAGGGGCACGCCCAACAGAGGGGGGAAATGTCTTCAGATAACTGTAGCCAGTCCCGAGGGCCATCAGGGAAACATGTGTTCAACACAAAAGAAGTGAGTGATGGATAGTTTATTTTGGAGGGGAAGACCCAAGTGGAATATCTCCCTCCCTCCCACTCCCAGCCCTGCAGGCTGGCCTGCCTTAACCCCCAACTGCTGGGAAGTGGGGGTGAGGAGGTTGTCTGAGAGTAAGTGGAGGGTGAGTTCCACCTGGCTACTCCTGGTTTGGTCTTCTCTCCAGGCAACATGAGAATGGTCAGAGGGAAGAGGAAACCGCCCTGGTGGAGGCAGTGTGTAAGGCATTCTTGTAAATATGTAGTGCCCCCAATTATCAGCCCAGCCACATTTTCACCCTCCTGCTCACTTTCCATTGTTAAGAGAACACAAAATTGTAAAGTAAATGAAACTCTATAGGAACATCATAGTTCCCTAATGGTAGCTAGGCCAGTAGCTACTTTCATGGGTGTTATATCATTTTGGGGAACCGTGGATCCCAGCAGGAGGAAGAGAGGAGCGTCTTGGTTAAGAACATCCTGCTGGTCAGGAGGGACCAGGACTCAAAGTGGATGTGGAGACTCAAGGCCAGGGCTGGATGATGCCAGGAGACTCACATTTCCCTCTGTCATGGCCCAGGATGGAAGGCTCTGCCAGGCTGGGACCAGCATGGAGTCAGGTCCCTCCTGGCAGGGTCAGGCTCCTGGGAATCAGAGGGGCTATGTGAAAGGGAGATGTGCAGCTGTTTGGGCCAGGCACCGACTGACCATGTCATGGTGGGAGGGGCCTTGGAGAACAATGGTCAGCAGGCCTGGAGACAACAGGGCATGGGCAGGAGAGGCACCCATTGCTAGTCCCAACCATCTAGCTCCAGAGGAGAGGGGTGGGTTAGAGGAGAGAAGCCCCACCTATCTCCCATCCCAGCTATGGTTGAGTATACGAGCACAAGAAAGATGGTGACCGTCTGAACTCACAAAGCAAGAAAGGGGCTTGGATGGAGTGTAGCTACCAAGGAGTAGGTGAGGCTGGGACTGCCCAGAGAGGGCCAGCAGAGAGCTGAGGAGGCAGGTATGTGATCCTCCTGCCCAAAGGGAGCAGGAGGAGCTTAGAAGGCACTAGCAGCAGAGTCAGCTGAGGAGGGCAGGGGTGGTGGCATCTCATCCCTTCCTCTCTGAGACTCATGGGGCCTCATTGGAGCCGATCCCATTGCCTTTGTTGACGTAGAATGGCCGGTAGTGAGACTGTGGACAAAACAAGAGTTGTTAGGGAGAGAAAATAGCAGGCAGCCCACCACTCAGACCCACCCTAGCCTAGCCTCCCTGCAGGATGCAGCAGTGGTCTGTACCCCAATTCCCAGGATCTTGTAGCTCAACCTTCAACATCTAGTTACCCTATCATAACGAGTTGGCCCCTAATTATTATCAGAATTTCAGGTGCAGATCCTAATAAGAGACTATTTGATTAGCAGGTTGGTGAGCTTGAACCTTTAGTGCCCCATCAAACGTCTATGGCCAGCATTGCCATGTTGTCATGGTTGTTGTTGGCTGCCGTCCATGCACAGTGGACTAAACTGCGCTGGTCCTGTGTCATCCCCAGGACTGGCTGCAGACTGAACCCTTGTGATCCAGAGGGTTTCACTGGCTGGTTTTTCACAAGTAGGTCTCTGGGTCTTTCTGCTTAGACCCTATGTTGAAACCTGTCCAGTATCATAGCAGCATGGGACCATTCTCTACAGAACACTCTGTTCTGAGTGTTTTGTATGTAAGGACTCATTTCACTTTTATAGTTTCCCAATGAAATAGCTCACTATTAGCAGGCCTATTTTATAGTTGAGCAAACCTAAGTACAGAGAGGTTCAGTATCTTGGCCAAGCTCACTCAGCCAGTAAGAAAAGGAGCCAGGATTCAAGCCCCTGCAGTCTGACCCCAGACATGTCCATACACCCCAAGTCTCTGCCTCATATCTTGAGTCTCCAGGGCTTCATGTTTGCTTCTACTCTCTGCATAGTGCTTTCTGACAGAGAGAGTAAAGAGAGCGCAAACAGTAGCCCAGCCCAACACAGACCCTGCTCTGCCCCTCCACCTTGTCCCATCTGTCCCTCGCCACTCTCATCCTGCCCCCTCATTGGTATTCACCCAGCATCTCCCAGGACAGAACCCAGTGACAATGTCCCCAGCCAGCTCTGTGCATTACAGCACAAGTAATTTCACAAAATCAGCACTCCCTGCCTCCCAATCACTTCATCAGGGCCCTGTGAAGCCTCCCTCCAGGCAAATCTCAGCTCCCTAGGCCCCTAGAGGCTCTCAAGAAGAGGATCTGTCCTCAGTCAAAAGGACTGATCTGCCTCCCCACCTTGCCATCAACCAGACCCAGGGTGCCCACAGCCCCCATCCTTGCCCCTGCCTGCCTGGGAACTTGGATCTGCCACTCAGCCCTGCACCTAAGCCTGGTCCCAGAGTAGGACTTGGCAGCTATAGGATGGTGGAACTAAGAGTCTTTAGTTCAGACCTTGGTTTTACCAATGAATTCAAGAATGGATGAATGAATGACGAAACTGAGCTCCAGAGACGATAAAGGACAAAACCAAAGTCAAACTACTCAATGGCAGAGCAGAACTGGGACTTGATCTCCTGACCCCCAGGTACCAGCCTGGATCTCAAAGCAACTGTCAATAGACAGTTAATAAAGCCCAAGCCTTTTCTTTCAGGAAAGCTGGGTCAAGAATATAGTTTGCAGGTGGGCGAGTGGTACTGTCTCATTAGGTGCCTGAAGTGGTGGGTGGGGCCGGAAGTAAGCCCCAAGGCATCCAGGCAGAGCACACACCCCTCAATCCTACCTTGCCTTGGGGTCACCACACTTGAGAGTTAGTTGGAAAGGTTAATGATTACCCAGGGGAACATGAGGTACTGAGGAAGCATGACCCACACAAGATCAATCAGCAAGTTGGCAAGAGGGCTGGGACCAGCACCCAGGCATCCTGACTCTGGGACCCAGGTCCCAGAGCAGGACTTGAGAGCTATAGGATATTAGAGCTGAGAGTCCTTAGTTCAGACTTTGGTTTAACCAATGAATTCAAGAATGGATGAATGAGTGAAGAAACTGAGCTCCAGAGAGAGTAAGGGACAAAACCAAAGTCAAACAACTACACAATGGCAGAGCAGAGCTGGGACTAGGTATCCTGACCCTCTGGGCACCTAGCACCCTGCCTCCATTCTCCCAGCGCTAGGTGCTAGCCAGGGACCACCAAGCCCTGCCCTGCCGCAGGTCCCAAAGTCATGACAAACGTTCTCCACTGGGACCAGACTCTGGGAGAGAAGAAATGTATGTGGTAGGAGGGGAATGACCAAGGCCAGAAACAACTCTTTTTTCCCCATATCTGCTTTCTGCAGCACTGCTGCTGCTACACCCTCAGGCCCAGCTCTAAATTACATACACAATCACTTAGCTCCCATCGCCAGCAAATTAAAGATTCTCTCCAATTAACCCGTCCAACCACTCTGTGGCCCAGAGCTAATCACCTCCCCACGCTCTGGCTTCCACATGTAAAGATCACAGAAGCTCGGCTGCCACCCCTACACCCACCACAGGACAGCTGGCTATCTCTTTCACAGGACCTTGTATGAGCCTTCAGGAGGAGAAGCCCTAAGGGAAATCAAGGCACAGCCTGTGAAAGGCAGTCCCTGATCACTGACATCTCAGACAGAGGTCAGGCATGTCAGCTCTAAGAGGGATGAACCCAAACCAAACCAGGTGTCAAGTCAAGTCTGAGTTATGGTGACTCCATGTGTGTGTCACAGCAGAATTGGGCTCCATAGGGTTTTCAGAAGACGGTCACCAAACCTTTCTTCAGGTGGACTCAAACCATCAACCTTTTGGCCAACACTAAGTGGGTTAACAGTCTGCACCTCTAGGAACTCCCTAACCCGTCAAATGGATTCACATTCATGGTAACCCATGGACTCCTAGTGTGGCACTGAGGAACATCACTGGACTGTGAACCACAAGGTCAGTGGTTCAAATCCACCAGCTGCTTCTCGGAAACCCTATATAGGGTCGCTATAAATTGGAACCGACTCAACGGCTCTTAACAACAGCAACAACATGGTAACCCAAAGATGAGCGATATCATCTAATCTTAACACCCAAGATCCCACAGTCAGTTTGTGGTCCTGATCACTCAGGATCCCACAGTCAGCTGGTGGCCCCAACCCACAGCCGTACTTCCCTGATGGGTTGCTCTTCTGATGCACCTGGCTTTGGGTCCTCAGACAGCAAACACTCATGATAATGCATTCCTAACTCTCCAGCCTCTGCCCCCTATGCCATCACCCAGAAAGCTCTCTGCTAAGAGCTGGACAGCTGTCCCCAGGAAGATGAGACCCATCTCCTGGATGTCTCCCTGAACAGGGCATTTTACAATCCCAGAGCTGGCAAGGACTAAGCCACCATTCAAATAAACCTCAATGCTCAACAACCATTTGCCAAATAAAAAGCCAATGCTGTCCACTTGACAGATTAGGAAATTGAGGCCCCGAAAGTGTGTGCTTACTCCAGCACCCCTGACTACTCTCCCTGGGTCTCTACTACCCTTTCCTGTATGAAGGTATTCAGGTGGCTTGCCCCTCAGAGCCCCAGGTTGTGCCCAGATATCTGGACATTTGTGCCCACGCAGCTCTTCCACTTACCAGCAAAGTTTGCTTGCTGGATTTCCAAGTCTGTGGCTGGGCCTTAGGGCTCTGGCTCCGGATGAGAGAGGGATAGCCTGAGGATACAAGAGGTGTCAATCAGCCAGGTCCCACGGCTAAGACAGCACAGATTCCTTCTCCAAAGTGACCACCAAGCCTTGTCCAGCCCATTACCAAATGCAGCCACCCTGAAGGGGCGTGCAGCAGCCAGAGTGATGCCACTGAAGCTCTGAGAGCTGGCCAAAGGGTAGAAGCACCAGCAGAAAGAAGGGGGAGCAGACCAGGGGGATGGGGCCAGGTAGCAGGTAATGACACCCCAAACCCAGGTCAGGATCACACTGGCTCTTCACAGATTTTATTCACCCACCCTGAAGTCTCACACTAAGACTTCTCCGCTACCTGGCACCCAGGACAGCTACAACCCACAACCTCCTGCCTGGGGGAGCTCTTTCTCCCCTAACACCTCATGCTGGGTAGCTAATAATTCTCATTTTACTAAAGCCCCACTGGTAGTATAGTGGTTATGAGTCAGGCTGCTAACCTCAAGGTCAGCAGTTCGAAACTACCAGCTGTTCCGTGGGAGAAAGATGAGGCTTTCTGCTCCCTAAAGATTTACAGCCTGGGAAACCCTATACAGGGTCACTATGAGTTGGAACCTACTCCACAGCACATAACCAACCAACCAACTTGTGATAAGCACTGTGCTGGGGGCCTTGGTCTTCACACCTAATCCTCACCAGGTTCTGGGTCCTCAGCAGTTTGCTGAGTTACATAGACAAGTAAGGGGCAGTGAGGATTAGAGCCACCTTTTGCTCAACCCCCATACCCATCTTCATTTTCTTCTGCCCACTCTGCAGTCTCTCCCATTTCACCAGCAGGAACCAGGGTCCAGAGAGGGCCACTCATTTTGGACATTTACCAGTGTGGCTGCCGCCCAGGGTGAGGTAAGTAAGCCCGAGTGGCCTGGAACACAGGGACTCTCTCTGGTTTGATCCAGAAGGGGTCTGTGCTCCCTCCCCACCCCACTCCACTCCACTCTGCCCAGAGGGCCTGGAAGGGAACCCCAGACTGCAGAGTGAGTTCCCACCCACTGGAACTGGAAGAGTGAAATACAGTTGGCAGTGCCAACTGCCAGCCACAGGGACACCTGCCATGGGAAGAGGCAGGCAGGACCAGACCCAGCAGGGTCTATTCCTGGCTTGTGCTGACTGACCCCTGCCTGGTAAGGCCAAGGCCCATCAACAGAGCCTCTGCAGCACTACTGGCCACAGCTCAACTGGCCCACCCCAGGGTTGGCACCTAATAAGAAGGTAGAGGAGACAGAGCAGATGACCGGTCTCTGCCTCCATCTAGGGAAGGGCAGCCTTGGAAAGAGAAGGCTCCATGGGCCCTGAGTGGGAGGTGAGAGAGGGCAATGCACACCTCACCTCTCAGTTCCCAGAGAGAAAGCCCCATACCAGGCATGGAGAGGTGAGGACCAGGATGGGGCTGGGGACAGGGAGTGGTCCAGGAGACCCACCTTGTGCAGCAGGCAGAAGTTGGGGAGGGGGCAGCTAGGGGTGGCAAATGAGGGCATGCACCCTTCTGTCAGGGAGCTCTAGGGAGGAGGTACCAGGACACCCTGAAAGTGGCAGAGAGTCCCCACAGGATGCCCACCTGCCCTGCTGTGGCAGAGAATAAGGGGAGGGGTGGAAAACAGGCAGGTACCGGGATTGTTTTTAAACAGACCACTGCCATCCAATGGTTTGGAAAACTCTGAAGTGGCCTGTCCCAAGGTGGTGAACTGATAAGGGGTTTTCCCAGTGCCTGATGGGAGAGAGAGAGGCATTAGCAGCATGGTCTGGAGGGAGCCAAACAGGACAGGGGTTTCATCGGGGCTGCCTAGAACTCGTGCCGGCAGGTCAGTCATGGCTAGTGGGATTCTCCTTGCACACTGAGCACCCCTGCCCAGAACCCTTCTCCCAAAGCCACTGCCAGCTAAGGAATGTGGTCATGGGGTTCCTGAGCTGACTCTCCTGTGTTTGGAGAAGGGATGCTCCCAGAGTCAGGCATAAGCAGGAGAATGTCTATGAAGGCTAGTAGGGAGAGATTTGGGAGCAAAAAAGCTCTGAATCCCATGTGAGAGTGGTTATCTGCCCCGCCGGGCGGCCTTGGGCCCAAACTTGGCGTAAGAGAAAGGAAGCATCTTCTGCAAGTCCCAGAGCTCCTCAGGCCTGGCTCCCAGGGAGGACACCTGGGGTCCGCTGGTCATAATCCTTCTCCTTCATCTTCACCTTGTTGGTACCAAGAATCTTTGCCCAGGGTGTTGGCTGGGAACCCAGACCACACAGGATGGCTAGGTGATAAAGCTACCACTTGGGAGTTTGCCTGCCCTGTCCTTTGCCAGGCCCTCCTCACCCTGTCCTTCTCCCTGCCTTCCCTAAATGCTTATCCTTCCAGATCAAATGTCCTGGGACTAGATGAGACATGGGCTTCCGCCCAGCTCCCCACACCCATGCTATCCCTAGGATAGACGTGAGGTTCAGGCCCCACTGTAAGCTGGAATCTGGTTCAAGGCTGCACACTGAGAATGACCCCAAGGGACAGGAGAAATTGGCCACACAGCCTTGTCAAATAGCTCAGGAGAGCAAGGCAAGCTGGGACAAGATGTAGGAAAAGGAGAATGGGGTATTGGAGATCTTAGAAGCCATAGAGACCGGCCCTTCTCAAAGGGGTTCCCACAGGAGCCTGGCTCTGTGAGGTGGCATTACACAGCAGGGGGGTTCTAAAGTCGCTAATGGTGGGAATCACCAGACAGAACAGTTAGCTAGGCTTTCTGCAGGGTGTGAGGGTGCCATGTTTCTTCACCCCATAGACCACTAAGGTCTTCCATTGTAGAGCATCTTTAAGAACTACAATAGGATCCCTATGAGTCAGAATCAGTTCCAAAGACTCCTGGAGGGGCACTGTAGGAACAGCACTGGACTACGAACCACAAGGTCAGCAGTTCAAGTCCACCAAGTACTCCTTGGAAACCCTATGTGGGGTCACTATGAGTCCAAACTGACTCTACAGCACTTCACAACAACATAGGGTCACTGTGAGTCAGAACCAATTTGATGGTAGTGGGTTTGGTGTGTGTGGTGATCAAGATTCAAGCAAAGTTAGTCTGGCCCCCTACCCCTTCCCTTATTTCACAGCAAAGAAAACAAGGCCCCAAGAGGGGACAGTGGCTCCCAAGGTCCTGCCAAGTCATGGCCAGGCTTCAGCCTCCTGCCTCCAGGTCAGCATTCATTCCTCTACAAGGTGAAAAACTGCTGAGTGAGGAATAGGACAACAGCAGGCTCGTGAAGTGATGGCCAAGTGAGTCTTCAAAGAACCTTCCCCTAGGGAGAAATCAGGGCTGGGGCAAGGTGAGGGGCCACAGAGGGCCAGGGCTGGGGTCTCACCTTTCAGAGAGAAGGAAGAGCTGCCTTGCACTGCAGGCAAGTCGTCAGAGTTCTGGATGGTGGAGGAGTATTCCCAGACCCGAGAGGTATAGTTACCTGGCAGGAAAAGGAAGAGGATCAGACCATGGCTGTCTGGCATGGAGGCAGGAGGGCAGGATGCGGTTATTTTATGACTTTCCTTGCAGCCCCTGCTGGGTTACCATCCCCCAGTCACGCCTCCCTCCAATCCTTCCTGCCATCCAAGATGTTTTTCTATATTTATATTTTCTATCTATATTTCATGATAAAATATAAAGCATCCTCATGTCCCTGCCTTACCTAAAAACCCACCATCCCCAGAATAAGGTACTTAAGTTAGCACAGCCCACAAGCGTTTCCGGACTCACTGCCCCACCCCACCCCTCAACACCTTCTGACCTGCCTCTGCCTCTTATCGCCCCACTCTACCGTCCACCCAGGCTGAGCTCTTGGCTCCCTAGACACACTAGGCTTGTGGCATAGACAGGATCCTCTGCCTTGGATAATGCACTTGCTCTCCCACCCTCAGTAAATCCACTCAGGACTTAGCTTATGTGTAATTTACCCCAAGTCTGTATGTGTCCCACACCTCACATCACCTTGTCCTTCCCTTGGGGTGGACTTTCTCCCTGGGTTGTGTTTGCAAGCTGACATGCCTGTCTCCCCCTGCTCTCCAGGCTGTGGACCCAGAGAGGGCCGGAAATATGCCCGCCTGGCCCATCACCACAGTCAGTTGCTGGCACAAAGCCTAGTTCCTCAAAGGTGCTCATTATATGGTTGATGGATGAATGAATGAACAAACAAACAAATAAATACAAGCCCATCCTAAGCACTGGGGACAGAGGCAGCTGATGTAACTCCTGACAACTGTTTGCCAAGTTGAATTGGTTGATGAATGTCCATTTGCAGACTGTGTCTCCGAGGCTCAAGGAAAAAGAAGCCATGGGAGGATATGGGGGAAACCTCAGAGGCAGTGAGAGGGCATTAAAAAGGGGCTTCGACACCCACAGGGATGATAAAGGCATGAATACATATCTCCAAGCCCCTCCCTCAGCTGGCTGGAGGACTGCCCAAAGTGTCCCCACCACCCCCAGCAGTCAGTAATGGTGAGGGCTGGCCTGTCCACTTACAGACCCCTCCCACAAGAGAATTAGGAAGGCTCTCAAGAGCATGCCCACCCGAGGGTCTGAGAGACCATATGCCTTGTCTTTTCATTTATACATTCATTTATTCTGTCTTTCAGCGAATGTTTCCTGAGGGCCCCTACTGCTCAGCCCTGGGCACAGGGCAACCAACAGGACAGACAGTTCCTGCCCTCACGGGGCTCAAATCTATGATAAATATGGAGAAGGGAATGGCAGTTGGTAATAGTTGGCCACCAATCTGGGTGTAGATGCCTCTGGTCTCCATGGACCATACCCTCACTGCAGAGGTCCTCCGTGTTCCTCCCTCTCTGCTGACCTGCCCAGGTCTGTCGGGGATAGGAGCTCCAGGAAGCCTATGGCTACAAGTTGGCACATGGAGGGCATGCATCCAGGGCCCCTGGGACACAACAGGCTTCCAGAACCTGGGCTCCCTGAGTCCATGGCCCTGTCTTTGTACACAATGTCTCCCTCTTTACACTGGGCAGAAGAGACCCTGCATGTGGCTGCTTTCTCTGAGAAAACCACCTTCCTAAGACCCCATTTCACTCCCAGGTCACACACCTCCCAGAGCAGTCCTGCCAACTGAATTTCCAGAGATGGCCCTCTGCGTATAGCATGCCCTCTTTTCTTTCCAGTGACAGCTCAACTAATCTGCCTTTACCCAGTATAACTTTTCAGATCAGGAAAGATATTCTGTGAGTGAACAGGCTTCTTATTAAGCCTTTGTGGAATATGGAGCCTTAGGTGAAATCCTGAGCCCCACCCAGAACCTTCTGAGGTGGAACATTCCCACTTGAAAAAACATGCAGACCAACCCGGAACAGCTAGAGGAACAGAAGGTAATTCGTGGAAAAAAATACCAACAGAAAAAATTATAAAGCAGACTGTTTGGCTGTTACAATATCAAGTAAGCTGTTTGCCTTGGAACCACCAAGGCAAGAAAAAGCAGCCTATCAATGTAAACCCCTTTCTAAGACTGAAACTCAAAAGTAACACACGAGCAGTCTTGTACGCTCATTGATGACCACCCTGGTCTACTTGTGAGTGGAAGTGGGGGAAATGCAGCAATGAAGACATGGGTTAAGTTTGGCTGTGTTCCATAGACACCCATTAACCTTAAAATGAGAGAGAAAAAAGAAAGGGCTGGCTAGTCTGAAGTTTAGGGAGACATGTGAACTTCCAAGTCCATGGACACTGACCTAACCACTGGGGGCTAGAATTGAGAGTGAAGTGGCCAGATAGTCTTAAGTGGGGGGAGGCATGTGAGAACTCCCAAACTTGTAGATAGTACTCATTTGACAAGTTTGGATGGCTTGCTGACCAGCACTCAACCAGAGGAAGATACAGAAGTTTGATACCAGGAGCAAGCGTAAGTTGCTACAATTTGATGAACAGGACCTTTGCTTATGATTGTAGCTGCTCAAAATTCCAACTGAAAGGGAAGGATTCTTCATATCAAGGACCAAGCCTGTCTCAGTACACAGGGTTGATACAGATGGGTAACTTAGACAATGACTATAAAAAATAGGCACAAAATGACTGGTTTATAAGCTTTCATAAAGATGCTTAGTCTCAGAATGATGGGGTTAAGGTAGAATCCCCACTAAATAGTTTTCCTCTTGTCCAGATGGGTCTGGTGAAAGGGGGTGGGGGTTCTAGAGCTTTATGACTCAATTGTGAGTAATTGCTCTCAGGACAAATTGTGATGGTCACAACTGTAAATGTAGAAAAGGTATAACTAAAAGTGGGGAGTAGTTAATCTTTCATTTCAGGAATCCTAGGACCATCAAGAGGGGAAAGTATGAGTGGAGTGTGGAAATCTAACCAGAAAAGTGGTAACAGCAGAGATGGTGGAAAAGGCAATGGCATAGAGAGACAGAGCAGCTGAGGACTGACTCCAGGCCCATGGAATGACAAAGGCAGTGGGCCTGTGGGCAGGAGGCTGGCTTGCAAAATGTGCCCTTTGGACATTTAAACAAATATATATTTTCTGTGTGGTATGTGTACATCAAAAAAGAAAAAAAAAAGAAAAGAAAAGAAAGGAATAGAGGTAAATACTATTAAATGATGGTACATGGAGGAGATTGTAAACATCACAATGAAACAAAATACGATTTGTTGAATGTAAAAACTGATGATCTCTGCCTGATAAACTTTCACTTAAAAAAATAGAAAGTCTGTGGGCCCTGATGTCCTGATACTTACTAGGGGACATGCCAGAGTGACTGCTGAGCTCCAGGTCCCCTGACTCATCCTTTAGGGGTAAGTAGATCACGTGGACTCGGGGAATTTCCAGTGTTGCTAAGGTTCTCAGGCTGCTTTTCCTCCAGCCTAATGGTGTCTTGCACACACACACACACACACACACACACACACCTACACACACTACATTAAGCTCAAAACCACCTTCCCTACCTCAGCTCCCCACTTTCATCTCACATTAGGGCCCAGTGTCCCCACCCCATGGCCCAGACCTGGCCCCTGACCCCAAACCCACTTCCTGCTGTACAGCCCAAACATGGGCCCTGCCCAATCTTGAACTGAGCCCCCTCGTACCTTTGGTGCCATAGAGATTGTTGAAATTCTTCTGGTTGGTCTCCTTGGAGAGGCGGTTGGGAGACGATGGCTGGTACGATGTCCGGGCCCCACCTGTGAGGCAGACCAGAAGACTCTCATTGCAGAAAGGGAGCTATGTCTCAACTCCAGGGACTAAATGGTGATAGGCAGGACCCTTTGGCCTCCAAACCCAGCTGCCTATCTTGGGGCCTGGATTCTACCAGTAAGAGAAGGGGATCATTTAATTTTTGTCCAAATTGGGATATCCCTAAGATTGAAAAGGGGGCTATTAAACAGTAAACCTGGCTGTCCTGGATAAACTAAGACACCTAGACACCCTACCTAGGGGCTTTGTAGGCGTCAGAAGGCTGGAAAGCCAGCCCCTTCCTCCTGAGCCAGTGGTCCTGGGTGGGGAGAACCCAACACTTTCTGGGTAAACACTGTGAATGAGACCAGGAACCTCGGGATAGAGTTCCTGAGGAAGGGAAGACCAATGGCAGTCATGGGGGCAGAGACATGGGCCCCTGGCCAAGTGAGAGTGAGGCATCTGGAGCTGGTCTGATGAGCAATTCCCACGAGCATCCCCCAGGTGCCAAAATGGCGGCTGTTGCTCACTCCCATGGCACAAAGCCTATACGGCAGAATGTTTTCCTCCTTCATCCATTTGGGCTCTCACAACAGTCTTATGATACAGGCAGAGGGATCTGAATATTCTCACATCACAGATGAAGAAATGAACTCCTATGTGTTTCTGGGGCTTTCTACCAGCTCTGCCCTCCCTACCAAACTCTCAGACTACACAGTTCTGGTGCTAGCCTACCTGGTCCAGCACTTGCTGGTCCCTCCTCTAAACCTTTGAGCCTGAAGTTTCTTTCACCCCAATACTCTCTGGTCCACCACAACCCTACTCTTTACATCTACCATCACATCCCTGCTCTTTACTGAGGACACTCTCTCTCTTTCAGGGATCCCAGCCTTGGCCTCCTGGTAGCCCTTTAGTGGCCTAATTTCCCCAGTCTTCTTAATGATTCCTGTTGGCCCTGCCCTTTTCTCTACCCTGAGCCTGGGAGCTCCCAGAGGGCAGATTTACTCCTCCTTGTCCTGAGCCACAGTGCTAGGGGTAGTGACACCAGAGGAACCTGTTTTCATCCACCTACAAATGTCAAAGGCTGACTCACAGTGACAAAGCTGGAAGATTTCCTAGGCATTTGAGTTAAACCTCTTGTTTTCTTAGATGGGACTTATGAGGCCAGAACTGAGGGTGGTCAGCCCAAGGCCATCTAGACCCTGAGACTCTCAAGTTACATCTTTTCTGTGCTCCTTCCTTCCACATTCCATCCCCACCCCACCCCCGTTGTTGTGTGCCCCCTCCCACCCCAGCAGAGTTCAGCTAGCCCTCATTCCCCCACAGAGTATAAGGGCCAAGCAGGAGCTGACTCAATGTCACCTCAGAGGGTAATCCTAGGAGAAGGGAGAGCCAGAGGGACCAGGCCAGGGCGAGGTAGAGAAGGCCTGTAAAGAAAGAGTGCCTGTCTCCGCTAACAACAGTAGGCACCCAGGCAGCGCTCCAGGGAGGGGAATGGGCCTGGCCCACACCAGGATTGTGGGATAAGGGGCACACAGCTGCTTCTCCAGACCTCTGCAAGAAGCCCAGGTGTTGTTTTCAAACTGGGTGGAGCAGCAGGAAGTTCTTTTCAACTGAGTTCATCTCTCCAAGTCCCCTCCCTCAGTGTTTGTGTGTGTGTGTGTTTGCTTGGGTGTATGAATTACTGCTTAGGGCCTGCCTCCCCGTCCCCCATTCCTTATCCCTTCCTCCATGTCTCCTCCTCCCCTGACTCCACAAGCACATGCTTGTTGTGTCTGAGGACTGGCCAGCCTGGCACACCCCCCTGATGTTTGGGCATTGTTGTGGTCTGTTGCTGGTGCCAAAGAATGTGGCAGGCTACCACAGGGCAAGAACAGGTAGACACTGATCTGTACCTACCAGGATGTCACCTCCAGAAGCTGGGACTGATGAGGGAGGGCCTAGTCTCCAGCACAGGTAGAGAACAGTGAGGAAATTGGGGAGAGGAAATGGTGGCCTCCTAACCTTGAAAAACAGAATGGGTCTGGGGAAACAACCTTCCGCAGGGGCTCAAGATCCACACAAAAAACTAAGTGGCAGCCAAACATAGCTCCGGTCACCGGCAGACAGACGCCAATGAGACCAGCACCAAGGAGACTCACTTTAAGAGAAGCAAGATGCAGGACGGAGTCAGGGGTGCAAGAAGAGGCTGCCTGCATCCTGGGAAGAACAGGGTGAACGCATAATTTAGCATCCAATCCAGACATGTCTGAGAGTGAAAGGAGGCACTAACGATTATACCTGGACAACAGGTATTTGCCAGGACTTTCCCAGGTCATCTCGCCAAAGGAGGGGACCCTTCAGCAGCAAGATGGCACCAATTCTGGAGCCAGGACCACCCCCCTTACCCTTGGGTGTCAGGTACATGGAGTATCTCTTCATCGTGTCTGGCGCACCCCACTCAGTCCCATAGTTGTTTGTGTAGTTGTTCATGTAGCGATGGTCACCACCTAGGAAGGAGAGGGATCAGGTCAGCAGAGGGGGTGGTAGCAAGGAGCTGGGCTCAGCTGAGTCCCCAGAAGAGCCAAGCTTTCTCAGCCATTGGGTCTTTAATGCTCTTCCCAGCATGCACTCTGCTCCTGTGCTCTTGGGGGCAGGGGAAAGGGTTTGACCCCTTGAGAATAAAAACATGTGCACAGCATTCTTCAGATTACAAAGTGCTGCTGATATCAATTTCTTCATTCCATCTGTATGTCAGCCTCTGGGCAAGTCTGATAATCCTCATGGAACAGCTGTGGACATTGAGATCCAGGAGGTGAGGGAAGCAACTTGCCCAATGTTGCATGACTAATACGGGCAGAGTTGAGTTTTGAGTCTTGGTCCTCTGTTTCCAGTTCAGTCACTGCCACTGCTGGCAGCTCAAGGTGGAGGACTATAGTGTAATTCTAACTCCATGACCCAGGGATCCAGCCAGCTGAGCTGAATCAGGCAGAAGCTCAAACTTTGGAAGAAACCATGGAAAGGAGGACACACCTGACTCCTCCTTTCTTGACATCTCACTGCATCTGCTAGCCAACTCCCCATCTCAAACAAAGCCTGACGTCCCAAGGAGCTAGCCTTCCATCCGGCACACCTTCCTCTTGTCACTTCCCCATCTTCCACCCTCCCTCTGGAAGAGCAAGACTGAGTGGCTCAGAGTCTCATCCTTCATCTTCATCACCTGTCTTTGGCAGAGGCCCTGACACATAGTAGGCACTCAACGAACAACCAAATGCCCCTCTCCTCTTAGCACCTGGATCTTGGTGAGTGGGACTGTATCCCAGGTCTGGTGTGAGGGGGAGGCATGACTCACTGTCTGCCCATCCCCAGCCTCCCATAGTCAGACACACTCCCAACAAGAAGGCAGCAGTGACAGGCCGGCCACACAGGAGCCTCCCCGCAGCCCAAGGCACAAGTGCAGGGCTGCTGACATCAACTGTACCCTTCCCAGCTCCTGCCCATCGCCTCCTTGCACTCCTTGTACAGGGCTGAAGGGCCACACCCATACAAAGGCCATACCAACACAATCATGACCTAACTATGCAGCAGAGGGAGGATGGGAGGCTACCAAACCACCCTGCCCCAATCTGGGCCATCCTCATAGATCAGGTCCAGGCCTCAGCTGAGGGGCTCCAGTACCAAGTGTGTACCTCAGTGGCAATGATCGGCACACTCTGCAACCCCAGCACCTCCTCCCCCACTGTCAGTAGACTCTCAACGAGAAAGCACAAAAGGCTGAATAGCAGAGTGTTATGCCCTATACAGCTGTGTGATTTTGGAAAGATCCTTCTATGAGCTTCATCCTTCTCATGTGCAAAATGTAATAACACTCTGCACATTCCCCCCTTCCCCCTGCCCAACACACACACAAAGGTGTTGTTGGAGGAAATAGGATGATGTAAATGAAGAGCTCAGAGAAACACATGGCGTGAGGGGACACTCAGCCAGCATCAGTGTCATCACTGTTGTCAATGAGAGGCTTTCAGGACCCATGCATTGGTGAAAAGCCAAATGACTGTCTTGCTAGGAAATGGTTCATCTGTCCTCAGGTGTGCTTGAATAGGAGACCACATTTCACAGGGGTGCTGTGGGATATCACCCCTAAGCCCCCACCCTTCTGCACACTGTAATGCCCCTCTCCTCCCAAAAGAGAACTCCATTTGGACACTGAAGACTGAGGTCTCTTCCTCTGCGGAGTTCACGTCTAGAAGTCATTGACTAGGTGGCATCCTCAAGGGCTGTCCCCGGGTTGGGCCCCTGGGTGGGGTTTTGGGGAAAGTGCCTAGGCTTCAGGGCCTAAAGGTTGTGGAGAAAGACTTAGCAGGGTAGTTTCTCAGATTAGGAGGCTTTCTGTGAGATGACTCAATTGACCTTGTTGGGGACAGCCTGAATCAGAAGAGCTGACTGCAGGAGAGCTAATGTGTCCCACCATCTCCAAACTGTCCCACAAGGACTAGCCCTGTCTTTGGTTCAGCACTGCTTAACACAGACACACTGACCAGCAAGTTCTCCCTCTAAGCATGGATGTAGTCTCAGGCCACATTGACACAAGTTTCCAAAGCTGCCAGTTGAGGCTCTGATGCATACAAGCTGCTGCATCTATGCAGTGCTGGAGTGGGCAACAGTCTCTGAATCTTAGTTCAAAACAGGCTTGAGTTGAGGGGGGAGTGGGGAACAGCGGTGGATGCCAGTTAGTACCAGGTAGATGGAATTACCTGGGAAAGAAAGGCCCATTGCCTTGGGTCTGTCCACAGAGGTGACCTACCATTTTCCATGTGGTTCCTCTCAATGAAGTTACGGCTCAGGTCTGCCTTGCACATCTTCTCAACATGACGCATGCACACGTTGAGCAGATCGTCCTTGAAGTTGCCCAGCGACTGCCCTAGGCCCTCCCCCTCCAGCAGAACATGGTAGGTGGGCAGGGGCGGAGGGAGGGAGTAATTGCTCATCAATTCACCAAATTCCTACCAAGAAAGGAAGTAAAGCATTAACTTCCTGGGTCTTCAGTTGCTAGGAGGAGCCCTCTCTGCCAGGGCCTCTCACAGTTTAGCTGGAAGACTCAGCACTGGGAACCGGGTTCTAACTCTTGTTCTGTTATGAACTAGCTCTATTTTCCTCACTGAACATTAGTTTCTTCTTCTGGAAAATGAAAGAGGCTGACTAAAATCCACTGGATGCTCTCTGATATCCCTGATGGCACTAATATTAATGTAATTCCAGGTTAGCACCCCTAAAACTCGGTACATAACTCCTATCACACTGGGGGCTATGAGAGGGCACAGCTGTGAAAACTCCAAGGCTGAAAGCACTGAAGAAATGCAAGGAATTACAATTGTGTCATGGGTCAGTCATCATGGTATTTCCATATCCACCTGCCATGCCCAACTCTGCCTCTACATCTCTGCACTTCCAACTTCCCTTTACTCACAAAAGAATTCCTCCTCCAAATCCTAACTGGCCTTCAAGACCCAATTAAATTCTACCTCCTTCACAAAGCTGTTTTCTGTCGCACTAGCCTGCTGTTCTTTCTCCAAGCTTCCACAGACATTTATCTCCTGAACCATATGCTTTATCACTTAATTACATACTCTTCTATATTGTTCTCTAATTGTATACATCTTATCTTCCCAGCTGGATTGTGGCTCCTTGGGGGCAGAAACCATGTCTTAAGCTTTTCTATTCTCCACAGCACCTAATAGCGTGCTGGACATTACAGTGCCCCCAAACACTGTAGCAGATTGAAGGATGAATGGATGAGTAGACAAGATCGAGGATAACAAATATGCAGCACTCATATGCCACCACCATCACTCATATCCAAAGCAGGCATCACCAATCAATTGCAGATCTCTTTCCTGCTGAGCCTGGAGTACTGTTAGTATACTCAATTGAAGTTGGGAATGATGATATTTGTGCGCCATTTTTGGACTAGGTAGGAAAATGGCTTGCATGGAAAATCAACAGATGGATTGGATGACAGAATGAGATTATAGCTGGGTGGCTTGGATGAGTGTATGAATGGATAGGTGGGAAAGTGGGTGGGAGGACTGAGGGACTGAGGGACTGTGGCAATGGAGCTGCCTGTTACCTGCAGAAACAGCACTGAGTCGGTGATGCTGTGCAACTGCTCTCTGGTCTGCTTGTCCTCATGCAGGACCTTTGCCCTTTCATCCAGAGCATCCACAATCACTTTCACTTGGTTCACAGCATCCTGCTCCCGCTGCTCCAGGGCAGCCCTAACTTCTTCTTTCTGCTTCTCCAGGTCCCGCACCAAGTCCCGGAAGTTCTGCTCCAGGATGGCCTTTTCATTGGTGGTGAAGCTCTGGATCCAGGATGGGGAAGGGATGAAGAAAGTTTCAGTAAGAACAAAAACACACCTCCTACAGGATTAGGGCATTTCCACTGACCAACCTGGCAAACTTGTTTGGCCAAGCATCATCCTCTTACTCAAAGATACCATAAGAGAGATGCCATCTATTGATAAAGATGACCATCTTTGGTTTGGTTTTTGGTTTTGGTTTTCTCAGCCTATCTTCTCTTATCCACATGTGGTTCCTTCCTCTTGATAGATTGACATAATCCATCATTTCCACCCTTGGGCAACTCCTCGTGGACCCAGAACATCCCCCTTGAGTCAGAGCTAAAACCAATTACACTTACATCAAGTCCAACTCATAACAACACAATAGGGGAACTGTGTGCCATAGGGTTTTCAATGGTTGTGACTTTGGGTGAATTCAAACCTCCCACTTTTCAGTTAACACGTGTGTTAACTGTTGACACCATCCAGAGACTCCTAGGAGTTAGGGTATGCTCAATGAAATCTCACCCCAAACCAAACATCATTTAGAAAGTGAATTAGCTGGAAGTTTATGTGCCAGAGTCAAGGGTCAGTAACCTCAGATTGAAGTTTGCAGTTATCCAATATGGCAGATATATGTCCAAGCACACTGGGACAAGCATAGGATAAATGACATGAACTGGGTGATTAGTTGGTGTGATGGCAAAGTAAACACAGAAGGACATTGGAGAGCATATTGGAGGACAGGTCAGTGTGTGGTCCTTATTTGCTGGAATGATATAAAATGAGCACAAAGTGGTGGGCCAAATCCTACCTGGTTGCTTGGCCAAGATAAGAAGGGGAGTTGGTGGGAATGCCAAGAGGATGAGGAACCCAGAAAAGACAAGTGTGGAATATAAGTGTGGGCCTGAGGCCTCAAACAAGAGCCAACATCTGCCTCGTCAGAGGACCAGGCAGGACAGGCAGGCTGTGGGCACAGTAGGGAGAAGGTCTGGTGCCACCCACCTTGATGCGATCCTTCTCCTTCTGCCATTTCTCAGTCTCATCCTCAATCTCAATGATCTTGAGCTGCAGCTGCTCCTTCTGGAGTGACAGCTCTGTCTGCAGGGAAAGGCCCAGGATTGACAGGTGAGTGAGAGGGAGTGGGGTAAAAGAGAACCAGAGAATCAGAGAGGGCCCACCCCAGGAGTAAATGCTGGGATAGGCCTCATCACTCATCCATTCATATCTTCATTCAGTAAGTGCTCATAAAGACTGGGATATGCCAGACTCAGTCACCAAGAATACAGTAACCTGCGAAACACCATATCCTCCAAATCCTAAGGCTTTTAGGGCTAGACATTCCAGCCATGGCTTTATAAGGACTAACCCTCTGTCTGTTTCCTCCGCCCAAGAATCTTATTTATGAGTTCTTATTTTTTTAGGTCAGGAGAAAGATGAAGATTTAAAGCCTTGGAAACCCTACACAGGGTCGCGATGAGTGGAAACTGATTCAATGGCTTCTTTAGGTGGACCTGGGACCATTGGGAAGAGGAAGGGAAGCTCCTGCCTCTTTTGAGCTAAAAGGAGGAAAGGGTCCTAGCTTAGCTCAGCTCAGCTCAGCTCAGCCCAACACAGCCCAACCCAGGGAGTGTCTCATGGCAACAACAGTGTGCAAATGTTTCTGAGGCATGACGTGAGCCTGTGTTGCAAGCAGGAGCTGGGATTGCCGCTGGCATGGACTCTGTTTGGGCAGGCACAGCCATAAACCTGTTTATGGGAAAGTAAATGCATTCTGCAGTTTTGACAAGACAGAGACTTTTATCCAGGGTTCCTGGAGGAGGAGAGAAGTTAGAGTGAGGCTGTGGAGAGAAGAGAGGTTCTAAGGATCTGTACTCATGTGTATTAGGGGCTAGGGAGGAGTATGGATGAGGATCTATCAAGACCATACTGGGACTTAAGCTCTCGTGTCCATGTATATGCATAGCCATATGCATATGCAGAAAGAGACTTTTTTTATTTTTCCATTTGGGGAAATGCTCTTCTCTGAATAGCAGCTCAACAGAGGGAAAAGGGAGGCATGGAGCTAAGGACGATTTATTCAGCCAAACCAAAAGGCACCTCTGTAACTCTACTGGGCTTCCCTCTAGGGCACTCAAAGCACCTTCCAGCTTGGAAGGTATGTGAGTGATCTCCAAGTGATAGGCATGAAGTTCAAGGTACCCAAGGAAGTCTTTAGATGGTTGAAGATCTCCCCAAATATCTTTGGGGGTTTGAATACAGAGACACACCCTTTCTCCAACGGTCTGCTTGAGGAACTCATAAAAATCATCAACATGAGAAGCCACAAGCCACTAGGAATGTCAGCTTCAGCCGCACAGAGTCACAGGAACTGGGCAGAGAACTTCACCATACATCACTCCTTTGAATGCTCCACCATGCCAAGGGGGCACTCAGGGAAGTGGGCTGGTGGTCCATGGAGCTTCTCTGGCTCTCTTGGGAAAGGTGCCAGAGGGCTGGGGAGCTGGCTTGTATGGAAAAAGGTAGGTAAGGCACTGAGTGGGAGACATGGAGCACTCCAGACTGAGAGCCTCTGATGCCAAGTCCCTCCCCCTCTGCCTGAACTCTCCAGGCATCTGCCTAGCCAACAACGGGCTGGAAATTCCATGACACAGAAAGTGTCATCACCAGAGATGGAAGATGGTTCTCAAGAAGAGAGGAATGACAGAGACAGGTATGAGAATTTTGGCCTGGTCTCTGGAAAAGACAAGAGAGAGTTCAGGTGTCAACAGACAGCATTGTGGAGACTGGAAAGCAAAGAGGATAAGTCCCCACTGTAGATGGTGGAAGACTCAGCCCTCAGACTTTGAAAGTTCAAAAGTCAACTGAGCCCGTGTCTCTGAAGACACCTGAGAAGACTGCACTTGGTAGCTAGATCTAAGCTGTGAGGAAGAGACTGAGAGACTAAACAATGGGTCTCTCCCAGGCAACTTTCCCATCTCTGAAAACACCTGAGTTAAGTCTTAGGTGGGAAGGAGAGCTAGGGCTCCCAACCACTCCCACTGAGACTTTCTAATGGCTCAGGGATGGAAGAACTAGCATTTGGGTTTCTCACTCCCACCTCACCACCCCCAGGGCAAAAGTGCATTCTCTCATACCTCCTGTCCACCGTCTCTCCCACCCTCAGGTCCAGGCCCAACCCTGGTGAAGGTCCTAGTCACAGATGGGAAAACAGCAGTCCCTCCACAAAATAAGCAACAGGGGTTCCAGAAGAGAGCTCCCCACCTACAATGCAGGTAGTCCTCTCTGAGGGACTTGACTTCTCCCTGCCTCAGTGTTATTATTCTGACTCATAGTGACCCTGTAGAGGATTTCCATGGAGCAGCTGGTGAGTTTGAACTGCCAACCTTGAAGTTCAAACTGACTTGCAGTTCAGGGTTTATCCTACAGCGTTTTATGTAGAGGACCTAGACCTGCCTCCCGGAGGCATTGTGAGCATGAACTGAGGATATGCTGACAGACGATGGTTCTTGTCACTGTTTGTGGATATCTGCATGGAGTAGCAGGCCTCAGGTCACAGATAAGTAAGGGGAAGGGGCAGGTGTGGCCATGGGAGAACGTAGTGGTTTTCAGTGGTGAGGACGGTGTGTCTGTGGCATCGGGTTCACTGTTCAAAGGGCGAAAGACACAGAATAAGAGACTGGAAGGTCAAATGTTAGGCTAACAGTGCAAAATGGAGGTTCAGACTAAAGATCATTAAAGATTGCAGGGGGCTGGGGAAAAGAGAGTGGGATAAAAAAGAGGCAATAAGGGTCACTATAGATCAGAATTGACTCGATGGTGCTTAACAACAAACTAGTTGTAACCCTCCTGGTGTGGTATTGTGGGTTAATACGCCAGACTGCAAAGCCATTTGAACTGCAAGATCGGCAGTTCAAACTATCAGCTGCTCCTCAGAAAGCCCATACAGGGTCGCTATGGGTCAGAACCAACTCGATGGCACTTCACAACAACAACGAACTGTAGGGTGGAAACGGTTTAACCAGAGAAGGCCAGGGGAGTCAAGTGTCTGGAATGAACACCCCACAGGAGGAGACTTGTTGAGAGCCATTTGGAAACTCATCAGTCTAGAATAGGACCTGCAGGTGAGCAGTCTGACCAGGTGACCATACTGGACAAAGGGTAACAGGGTATTATGAAAGGGAATTAGGGTATTAAAAAATGGAAAACACAAGAGGGTTTTAGAACAATGAAGAGCCTGGACCAACAGCAGCCAGAGGTCAGCCTCCCAGGATTTAGGACATAAGGCAGAAAGGAAAAGAGGGCAGTGGGGCCACTTGAGATATGGAAGGAAGAGCACAGCCAGTGACTTGGGTGATTAGGAGGCAGAGATGGTTGTTCTGGGAAAAGTGTGAGGGCAGCGTCAAAAGTAGAGACAGGCTGTCTGCAGCAGTGGGCGGAAGAACCCGTGAGGGTGAGGAAAGACGAAGCCTCCTTACTTCTCTGGGCACTAGGAAAGCTGGACAAAGGACCTGGGAGGGGGCCTTGCTTCTACAGAATGTCTTGCAAAACCAGACTTGCAGGATGCAGCAGGATCTTGGAGCAGATCTTGGATGGGAACACTGTGCTGTGGAAACGGCCGTCTCTCACCTCTAGGATGAGTCCTACTCCTGTCAGGAAACAAGGGTCCGGGCTGGGACCTCTGGGTTTGTACCCATATCTGTTCAGCTCTTAACAATTTGTCTCTGCTGACAGGGCTACACAGAGCTGAGACAGGATGTGGGAAACAACACAGCATAAGGGTTCCCAAAGATGTTGGGTTCTCCCACAACACAAGAAGGAAGAAACTTGATTTTTATTACTGAGCATCTACTATGTGCCATGGACTCCTGGTGTGGTGCTGTAGGATCAGCACTGGACTGCAAACCACAGGGTCGGTGGTTCAAACCCACCAGCTGCTCCTTGGAAATCCTCCACAGGTTCTGAGTCAGAACCGATGCCAGAGCACTTAACAACAATGTGCTAGGCATTTTCTCCTTTACCCTGAAGATAGCTGTGATATCCCAGTTTACAAATGTGGAAATTGGGAAAGAGTACAAACATAGCTGAGTTCTCACAGCTAAGAAAGTGGTAAGGTCAAGATCCAATAACTTCTTGTTGTTGTGAAGTGCCATCGAGTTGGTTCTGACCCATAGCGACCCTGTATAGGGTTTCTGAGGAGCAGCCGGTGAGCTTCAACCACCAACCTTGCAGTTCAAATGGCTTTGCAGTCTGGCACATTAACCCAAGAACCACAGTAGGACTCTTAAACTCCAGGTTTCTTCTGTTCTTCTAGGACATTGTCCATCCCCTTTGAGTCTGCTTACCTGGGTTCCTCCACTTCACAGCTGCTGCAAATAGTGGATTCTACCTCTTCCCTGTTGCCCCTCCCCTTTCCAACCAGATCCCCTCCCCAGGAGCCCTGAAGCCTGGCTTTCTCTCTCCTGTCTCCCTGGGACTTGACCGAAGCCCCTGCCTGCACCTCCCTTTCAGTGTTTTCCTCCTGCTCCCCATAGCATTCCCTTCACCGTGTCCAGGCCTGTCCCTAAATACTTTCTATGCTCATCTGGTTGCCTCTGGCTCTCGGTTACCTAGAACAGGCCCTGCATGGGCCACCCACCCTTGAAATCATCCCTTAAAGGTTTCCCTGAGCTCAGAGAGGTAGCTCAGCAGCTGGTGATGCCTCAGCCAGGCCGGAGTCTTCAGGAGCACAGGCACTTGAACATTCACCTAGATGTGTGTGCTTGTGCTACCTCCAGGGATGGGAGATTCCACTGTGATCTTGCCCTAGCCTGAATTAACCACTTGGGCCGTGGGCTGTGACATTTGCCAAATGAGCCAGTTAATTGCCAAATTTGTACTCTCTGACAAATGGTAATTATTCTGGATAAGAATCTGAAATGGTGGATAGATTTCCTCGTTTCCACCCAGATGACAAATAGTCCAACATTAGTTAGTCGGTTTGATTACGGTTTACGGTTCCTCTGATTCCTGACAATGCTCAGTCCAGGGAGGGGGCATAAAGGGATGAAAAGAGCCTCACCAGGCAGCCTTCAGACCAGCAGGGGTCCTGGGGGAAGTCAATTCATCTCAAGGTAGAATTGGACTAGGCTTCTGATTTCCAAGCAGGCTAATCATTAGAACCTCTTAGGAGACCTGGTGTGGCACTGTAAGTTCACAAGGTCGGCAGTTCAAACTCACCAGTCGCTCCTTGGAAACCCTATATAGGGTCACTATGGACCAGAACCTACTTGACGTCACTTAACAACAACAACAACAAGGAGACTTAAGACTCCAGATTCTGGGCATATCCTGTGAACTCCTGAATCAGAACCTACTGGGATAAGACCCAGGACTCTATGTTGTAGCGATTCACAGGTGATTCTGGTGTAGACAGCTCAGCATTGGTCTGAGAATTAATGTTTGGGAATCTCTGGACTCAATAGCCTCAAGGAGACCTTCCAGTCCTACCAAGAAAAGGTTTTAAACAGTGGAGAGGAAACAGCCTGGGCTTCGGCCAGACCAAGAGTCTCGGTCTGAATTCCAGCTCTTCCACTTTGTACCTCTGCAGCTTTGGGTAAGTTGCTTGGCACCTTTGAGTCTATAAAATAGGTGAGTAACACTCATCCCATAGGACCGTTGTCAGCAATAATTAGGACAAAATGAAAATGCCAAGCACCATGCCTGACACATAGATGTGCTCAACAAAGCCTAGCTTGTCTTCTACCTGCCTGCTCTTTCTCTTTTCTTCCTTGTTTCTTTCTGATCTGTAAACCTCCAAAACTGTACATAATTTGTTGTTGCTGTTGTTGTGAATACCAGGCTTCCCCCCAGCATCCCAGAGGTCATCTCCATCTCCTAACTTGCCCACCCTATTCTTGTTCTCCATGAACTCCAGGAAAAGTGTCCCAGCCCCCTCCACAGCACCCTTGAGCCTGGCTCCCTTTCCTGAATACTTGTCACTGCAGTCTGCCCACAAAGAGCTTTCCTGCCCAGACCAGCACAGCTCAGAACACTCAAGGGCCATGGACCGCCCATGCCCAGTAAGTAGGTGATGATTCCACCTCATTAGAATTGGGCAACAAGATGAAAAACAAAGCCAGCAAGCATGGTGAGAGAAATGAGCTGAGCTAAATGATGGAATCAAGAGCAGACAAGGCGCTGCTTCTGAGCTGCTGGGAGCTCACTCTCACACCCCACCCCACCCCACCCCCCCACACACACACACACACTTAACAACACCAAGTGAGGCCCAGGAGGTGAGCTCCACAGCCCTGGGTGTCAGCTACAGCCTCATGCAACTAATCAGGACAGGTCTGGATTTACCTCACCTGTGTCTTCATCAGCAGGCCTCAGAACAGGTTTTGAACTGGGTTCCTTGCAAAAAGCTGAGTGTGGGCTGATGTTTGGGTCTGTAGGAGACTCCTCCAGAGGATGCCATGGTTGATATGCTCATTCTCTTTGGTCCATCAGCCCACTAACCCTGCTCTGTGCTAATGCACCTGATGTCTGACATTTCAGCAGTGCCAGACCTGGACCAATTGCTTTGTTCCATCTCAGTCTCCTTGCTTCTCTGTACCACTCTTGCCTGCCTCTCTACACCGCAGGTATGGGCATGTGTGTACACACACACACGCACACACACAAGCACACAGGCACGGTCTAAAGTCTCCACCATGAGAACCTCCCCAATGGACCAGAACACTTGCTCCTGAAGCCCCTGATGTGGCATATATATCCTGAGTCCCAGCCCCTCAGTGAAGCTCTCAGACATTGGAAGAAGACTTAGAGGGTTTCTTCCTCAAATTCTAGAATCTTGGAAGGTCCCTTTCAAGGCCTGTGTCCCACCTGCAAGGTGAAAAAGAAGACTGATGATATTGCGATGTTGCTAATACTCTGATCTGATGTTTATATTCAGCTGCTTTGGCATAACAGGGCGTAGGTTCCTAATCTTGTTTGTGTGTCTCGGTTCTGCTTCCTGACCTACATCAGGCTTGATTCCTACAGAAGTCTCAGTACCAAAGCACAAATTCCAAGCTCCCAGCTCCTCCAAAGAGGGATGTCTGAGACCCTCCTGCCACTTAAACAGCTTCATGATACTCTCGTTTCAAAGTTTGGGCCAGAATTTTGAGCATATAAAACAATCCTGGTATGAAACACATCCGCATGGATGCGATCTGCTTGGTAGAGCCTTCTTGGCATCTTTTTACCACTCTCCCCTGACTACTCAAAGACATTTCTGAGAATTCTAGGGTTCTGTAAGGTTCATGGAAAACCACCAATCTTACCCCACCCCTTGATTTTACATATAGGAAAAAGGAAGCTGAGGATAGACAAGCTTACCCATAGTTTCACAGTTAACTAGAGACCACAACCAGGACTGGATTTCAGATTGCCAAAGAGCCCTGGTAGTGCAACGGTTAATCACTGGGTTGTTAAATAAGAAGTTGGCAATTCAAACCCACCCAGAAGCTTCATGGAAGAAAGACCTGGTGATATGTTCCCATATAAATTGCAACCAAGAAAATCCAACCTGGCAGTTTTACCGTCTCATGAATCAGAATTGACTGGAAGACACCCAGCAACAACCCCCAGTCTGAGGCTCTGCACTTTCTTGTCATTCATGAGATGATTCCCACTGTTCCAAAGAAGTCCCTGGGGGATGGGGTTCATGTCCCTGCCACATATATATATCCCCTAGTATGAAGCTTCCATCCAGGTGGGGGTGGGGGACAAGAAATACCTTCCGCTTGGGCCCCAAATGAAGCTTCCCAGAAGTATCTTTGCATCTGTTCCCATTTCTAGCTCATCCCTCCCTGCCCAGAGGTAGGACAAGAAGCAGTGGGGGGAGAGTCTCAACAAACACCTGGTCAGGAAGGCTGGGCAGGGAATGGGCTGTACTACCCCAGCCTGAGGGCTGCGGAAACTCTGGAGGAAAGTCAGGTCCTCTATACAACCCTTGCCAGGAAGGGTCGCCTTAGGGGAGGCCACCCACAGCAGGTAGCTGCAGAGGTGTGGGTGAGCTGGGCCCAGCATCTGTGGGGCAAAGAGTAACAGCCACAACTGGGTTCTCAGACTAGAACACCTCCACAGGTGTGCCGGTCACAAGCCTCTGCATGCCTGTGCTCATCCCCATGGCAATACAAGGATAATCACATACACAGGGCTCAGGGAAACATACTGACCTCTCATATACACAAATATATGCAGCCACATATGCACATAAAACACACGCATATACATGCCCCCCTCCCCCCACTGCCCACCCCTACACACATACTCCAGCCCTCATAACGTTCACCTACAGACACAGCCGTGATCACATGCAACCCCACAGAAAAAACCCACAAGGCCTCACCTAGAGCAGCCATGACGGGGGGG